GTCTCACCTGATGAAGGGGCGCGAGATGGCCAGCACGGTCCGGATGAACCAGGACGGGTGGACGATGATCAGCGACTTCAGGTTTTTCCGCAGCCTGTGTGGGGAGCAGAGGAAGGGTGAGCCCTGGGCGGGGAGGCGTCCGGGGAGGGGAGAGGAGCAGGGGTGAGAGCCGCACGCAAGCATTTGCTCCCTCTGCTCTGGTCTCCAGCTGCCGGTCACATCCCTGCTCCAATCCCTGCCCCCACCAGGAGTCGTGGGTCCCCCCGCAGGATACAGACATGCCCTTGGTTCCCTGAGACCCCTGGCAGGGTGGGGACAAGGGAGAGACCGAAATGTGGTATGTCCATACTGTGGACTATCACGCAGCCACGAAAAGGGACGAGGCTCTGACACAGCCCACAGCGTGGATGAACCCTGAGGACATCGTGCTCAGTGAGAGACGCCAGACACAGAAGGACACATCCTGTGTGACTCCACTCACAGGAGGTCCCTGGAGTCGTCAGATCCACAGAGACAGGAAGCAGGACAGTGGGTGCCAGGGGCTGGGGGTGGGGGTGGGGAGTGAGTGTTTCTTGGGGACAGAGCGTCAGTTTGGGAGGATGGGAAAGTTCTGGAGATGGAGGGTGGTGACGGTTGCACAACCATGTGCGTGCGTTTAATGCCACCGAGCTGTGCCCTTACGGAATATGAGCTTGTTGGAAACAGGGTCGTTGCAGATACGATGAGTTAAGATGCTATCACACTGCAGTAGGGGACCCTTCATCCCATACGACTGGCGTTGTTATAAACAGGGGAAATTTGGACTCAGATACGCAGAGGGACGACGCCACGTGAACATTAAGGCAGAGATCAGGGTGACGCATCTAGAAGCCAACAACCCCCAGAGGCTCAGAGGGAGACGTGGAGCAGATTCTCCCCCACGTGCCTTGGAAGGCGCCAACCCTGCGACACCTGGATGCCAGACTTCCGGCCTCCGGAATCCAGAGACAGAATAAACTGTTGCGTAAGGCCCCTGGTTTGTGGCACGTGTCACAGTGGCCCTGCAATCTGCTACACCACTTTCCAGAAGGACGTCACTGCTCAGGGCCACGCAGGTGCTCTGTGAGTTTCCATGCCCCCCCTTGCGCCCCTTGCACCCTGAGGCGATCCCCAGCCCCTCACCTCCGATCGATCATCTGGTAGCATTTCTTCAGCCAGCCGATGCCGGGCATCCTCCGCCGCGGCGTGGCGCCGTTCAGGTACACGATCATGTAGTCCTCGGCGACCAGCAGCTCCAAGCTGCTGATGACGTACCTGCTCACGGGGGCGGAAGTCAGGGACCCAGCGTGGAGGGGCCTGGCATCAGGACACCTGTAGCCCCTGTGCTGTCTGCTTCCACCTCTGTCCCAGCCGGGCCAGCCTCACCTGTTCAGGTGTTGTGTGGCGTCCCAGCTGGGGACGGGGGTAGGGAATCCCAGCCCCACCCACAGGTGTGTCAGTGGGCATCATGGTTGCAGAAACTATCATTTTATTGAGCACTTACTGGGTGCAAGTGTTTCATATATGCACGATCCCATGTGATGTCTCCTGAGACTAATGCAGAGGGTTGGCCGTTATCCCCATTAGAGTGGGGACAGGTGCCCATTGAGAGCCAGGGGTGTGGCGGACGGTCCCCAGGTACCAGAAGTTAGGAGACCTGTGATCCATCTCAGACTTCTCTCTCCCTGCACAATTCTAAAAGAATGTTTTCCTGGGCTGGCTCTGTCACCAGGCTGGAGTGCAGCGGCGTCATCACAGCTCACTGCAGCCCCCAACTCCTGGGCTCAATCCATCCTCCTGCCTCAGCCTCCTGAGTAGCTGGGACTACAGGCGCCACCACCACACCCGGCTAATTTTTCTAGTTTTAGCAGACATGGGGGTCTTGCTCTTGCCCAGGCTGGTCTCCAACTCCTGGGCTCAAGCGATCCTCCCACCTCGGCCTCCCAAAGTGCTGGGATTCCGGGTGTGAGCCACTGCGCCCAGCCTGGAAATCTTAATAAGAACAATGAAAAGAGAACTAATGATTTCTTGAGTCTTAATGTTATCAGGTGTTTGCTAGGTGTCATCTGTATCTGTCATAATAAAACCATTGCTGTGTGTCCCTGGGCAAGTGACTCAGCCTCTCTGTGCCTCAGATTCCTCACCCGCAGGGCGGCAGGCAAGGACATGAACCCCATAGGGTTGTGGTAAAGGCAGATGCATTAACATATAGGCAGCACTTGGCCTTGTAGTATTAACAGTATTAATAGTACACATAGTATTAATAAGGGCTCAATAAATGATGGAGGCGGTGACAGTGATCATCATGGTGATGATGATGATGATGATGATGAGGAGGAGGAGGAGGAGGAGGAGGGGATGGAGGAGGACAGGGAGGCTGAGAAAGAAGGCCGCCAGGGAGTTGGTGGGCCAGGAGGGGCTCAGCTCAAGGTCTGTGGCAGCCACACCCTTTCCTGGTGCCCCCAGTGGCCAGCGAGGCCCCGGAAGTGGCCGGAAGCTGTGGGCAGCAGGCAGGTGACTCACAGGAAGAGGTTCTCCATGATGTAGTGGTAGTCCGGGGAGCTGCTGTCCGGGAGGAAGCAGGCGGCAAAGACAATGATGGCGTTGAGGCCTTCGCCGTAGTACCCTGGGGGGAGGCAGAGAGTGGCTCTGAGGTCTGAGAGGCCCCACGCGCTACCCGCCGTGGCCTTGCTCAGGAAGGCACAGCTCCGGGCTGCAGCCGCCTGGCAGGGGAGCCAGCACCCCCGTGAGCAGTCTGTGCCTCTGGTGGGGAACTGCAGCTGCCCTCAGAGGTGCCCTGGGGTGTGTCCCGCAATCCACGCCTTTGCCTCCCTTCTGTCCACCCCAGTCGCGTCAACAGCTTGACACCCCCGTGCATCAGATGAAGAGACCGAGGTTCAGAGAGGGGCACTGACGGGCCTCCAGTTCCCCAGCAGGCCAGGCTGTGCTGGGAGTGCCGTTCTCACCTCCGTGGGTGACCACCTTCATGTAGGGCCGGATCATGTGCAGGTCGATGCGGTGCTCCTGCTCCCCGATGATCACTGTCCGCCACAGGCGCCCGTTGGCGGCACTGCCGTCCTCCGCTGCGCCGTCCCCAAACAGATCCGCGCTGTCCCCGGGCATGTTCTTGGCGGTGGCCACAGGGGTGTCATCTGGAACCAGACCAAGGGGGTGAGCTGAAGGGACGCCTGAGTCCAGACGTCTCCCAACCCCCCGCCCAGCCATCCTCTCCCACCTCCCTTTGCTGCCGGGGGCCACGTGTCCTTTGCTTCTCTCAGCCTGGCTGCCCTGCGGGCCCATTTTCCTCTCCTACTCCCCCTTTGAGGCCCGGCTCAAATGTCACCTCCTCCAGGAAGCCTCCCAAGAATGTTCATTTTGGACGCCTGTCCTGGAGCTTCCCGGAGTCTATGAAAGTGTGTGTCTGCTTCAGCAAACCATGAATGCGCCCCTGGGCGTGGGCGCTTGGTTCTTATTCTCCTGGGAGCCTGGCACATGGGGATGGGGCAGGATCAAGACTCGTTCTGGCCCCGGGTGGGATCTGGATCCCCTCCCCCACCCCCCCCTCCGTGGCTCCCCAAATCCTGCCCAGCCCATGACGTTTACACACCCATCTCCGGGGCCCTTCTCACTCTCTCGTGCCTGGACCCGGCCCTGAACTACCCCCTGCGGTCTGTCCCTCGAACTCCAGAGAGTTGTTTATAAAACCCCAAGTTGGAAGGTGCCATCCATTTACTTAAAATCCCCCGGCAGCTGCAGACATTAAAAGGGATTCCAAGCCAACACGCCGAACAGTTGCGCACCGACAAATCGGGTAACTGAGATGAAACAGACAGATTCTTAGAAACACTCAAACCAGCAAAACTGACTCAAGAAGAAATAATATAGGAAATCCGAGCAGACCTAGAAGATGTAAGGAGACTTCCTCCAGGAAGTCTCCTTGATTGCTCCCCTCCCCCGAGTCAGCAGGCTGCCCTGCGCCTCCTGAGCCCCACATCAGCCCCGCCTTGGCCATGTCGTTCTCTTAACAGTTTCCACGTCTATGTTCCTCCAACAGACGTGTGCGCCCGCACACCAGGGGCCACGGATGAACAGTTCTGTTCCGTGTCCCCGCTGTGGGTCAGCACACAATTGTCTTCCTGGGCATCTCCCTCTCTCTTCCGGGCCACAGGCAGTTATCCTACACTTCGCTGAGTGACTATGTTGAGTTGGGGGTTGCTGGGAGAAATGGGGGAGCCAGAAGTCAAAAAGCCACCCCCGAATACTAACCTATTTTTTTTTTAAAGGAAGGTGCTCAGGGAGGTGGAAGTCAGGTGACCCAGGTACACCCAGTTTCTCTGAACGGTTTGCTGTGTGATCTTGCACACGATACCTCCCTCTCTGGGCTTCTCAGGGTGCTTAACTACTCTTAAAATAGCCCTCTCTTCCCCGCCGTTCTTCCTGCCTCAGAGAGTGGCACAACCACACACCCACCTGCCCAGGCCAAAAAAACCCAGGTATCGTCTCTGACCCCGTCTGCACTGTACACGCCACACACCCCGACTCAGCAAGTGCTGTGGGGTCTGCTTCCAAAGGGGACCCTGAACCCGCCCACTTGCCTCCACCCCCAGGGCCACCCCCCCCTCCCAGGATGCCGTCCTCTGAGCCCCCTCCCTGACCTGTCTACCCTTCCCTGGATGGGACAGGGAGAGTTTCTGAACACACCGGAAATCAAATCTGGTGGATCTGGGGACAGCTGACCGTTGTGCTGGGAATAAAAGCCAAACTCCTCGCTGGCGACATTCTAGGCCCTCTGTGATCTGCTGCCTCTGTCTCTGCCCCCACCACCTACCCGGTCACCTCTGCCCCTTGCCCATCCCCCACACCAACCACACTGGAGGCCTTTCCGATCTTTGCTCTTGCCCTTGGATCTCAGCTAAAATGACACCTGCCAGCGTGGCTTGTGCCGACCGCTTTTTAAGAGGGACCCCGCTCTGGGCACAAGGTTTCTCCCCGCAGGACACTGCGGACGTTGGGACTGGACCCTTCTCTGGGGAGGGGCCGTCCTGGGCCCTGCAGGTGCTGAGCAGCGTCCTGTCCTCCACCCACCCCATGCCAGGAGCTCCCCCTCCCTTAGTTGTGACAACCATAGATGTCCCCAGACATTGCAAAGAGAATCTGGTGACAGCTACATTCCCAGAAAAATTTGCCAGTCCACAAGAAAAATGTGCATCAAGGCATGGATGATGGACGGACCCTCCCGGAGCCTGGGTTCGAGCCTCTGCCCCGCCCGTCACTCTCTGAGCCTACAGGAATACAGGGACAGCTCCAGGAAGCCACAGAGACGCCCATGACCGTCACCTTCCCACTCCAGTTCGTTGCCATTCCCCAGGAACTCCAGCGAGTCCGTCTCGTCGGGGGTCTCGATGTCGTCCACGTTAATGTCCAGGTCGTCAGGGGTGTCCAAGAAGTC